TATATATCAATGTTAATGTCAAATCAACTATTTAAAAGTTTTCATTTTTTATGTAATTTCTTTAATTTATTTTTTTATTATAATTTAATTTAAGTTTAATAATGAAATAATTTATTTTTGGTTTAATAATATAATATTTTATAAAGATAATAATTAATTATTCTGTTAGAACTTAATGATTATCCAAATTATATTTTAGATTTTTTATATTTAAAATGAGATGTTTATCCTGTATTTGATTGTGTTTATTTGCAGTTAATTACACGAATTCAGATATGTGATGAAATCGGATAGGGATGAACGGGTTTAAGAGTTTTTAAGAGTTTAAGAGTTTTAAGAGTTTAAGAGTTTTTAAGAGTTTTAGTCAAATGCTTTATAATATAGTATAGATATGAGGGTATTACACAACCCCTTTATTTAAACATTAAATTGAAACAAATAACTAATATATTTGATCGTATTAAAATAAGAAATAATAAAAATGAAGATTTTCCAATTACTTAAGCTTAAAAAATTCCTTATATTTCATATCATATTTGCAATATTATTGAAAACGTCTCACATGTCATAACATAATACTTTTTATCTATAATATCTATACTATATTATAAAGCATTTAACAAAAATACTTAAAAACTATTTTTTATGCATGAAATATTGCATATTGATGCATATTATTTAAAATTCAAAATTACAAATAAACTATGCATAAGTACAACTTATTAAAGCTCCATGTTTAAATTCGTATAACTAACTGTAGATAAACATAACCAAATAGAGGATAAATATCTCATTTTAAAATATAAAAATCTAAAATATACTTAGGATAGTTATCGAGTTCTAACAAAATAATTAATTATTATTTTTATAAGAAAATTATATTATTAAATTAAATATAAATTACTTTCTTATCGAACCTAAATTGAATTATAATAAAAAAATTGAATTAAAAAGTTACACAAAAAATAGGAATTTTAAATGGTTAATTTGATACTAATATCGATATATTTTTGTTAAATTTTTATGATATTTTCAAATGTATATTTTATTAAAAAAATAAAAACATCATCGATTTTTCAAAATCACATAAGACCATACTATAACATCAACTGGGACAAATAATAAGATGAAATATTAAAATCAAGATGTATCTTGCTGTATTGTACGAGTACCTTTTAGTATTATTAAACATTTGATAAAAACTCTTAATACCATTTTTATGCATAAAGTACTGTATATTGATGCAGATTACTTAAAATTCAAGATTACAAATAAATTATGCGAAAATACAATTTACTGAAGTTCTATTTTTTAATTCGTGTAACTAAATGCAGATAAGCACAATCATATGCATGGTAAATATCTCATTTTAAATATAAAAAATATAAAATATAATTAGAATAGTCATTGAGTTCTAACATCATACTTAAATTTATTATATTTATAAAAAATTACATTATTAAATTAAAAATAAATTGTTTCATTATCAAACATAAATTAAATTATAATAAAAATTTGAATTGAAAAAAATTACACATAAAAATAAAAACTTTTAAATAGTTAATTTGAAACTAATATTGATATATATATTTCTTTTCAAATTTCTAATTATGACATATTCAAATTTAAATTTTATTTAAAATTAAAAACATTATCATTTTTCTCAAAACTACATAAAACCGTATTATATTGATAGGTGCAAATAATAAAACGAAACATTAAAATCGATATGTATTTTCTAAATTGTGCAAATACCCTTATAGTATTAGAAATTTTAACAAACTAAAATTTTAGAATATATGATTTAAATCAAATTTTTTTCGATCATAATAAAGTTGAAGTAATTATAGTTTTGTACCCAAAAAAAAATTAATCTATACTATATTGTAAAGTATTTGACAAAAAACTCTTAAAAACCATCTTTTATACATAAAATATTGTTTATTTATATATATATATATTACTTAAATTCAAGATTAAAAGTAAGTTTTGCATAAGTACAAATTATTAAGCTCATATTTGAATTCGTGTAACTAACTGTTGATAAATATAATCAAATACATGATAAAATTTTTATTTTAAATATACCTAAAATATAATTAGAATAACTATTAAGTTCTAATAGAATAGTTAGTTATTATTTTTATAAAAATTATATTATTAAATAAAAAACAAACTACTTTATCATTAAACCTAAATTAAATTTTAAATAAAAATTAAATTAAAGAAATTAAACAAAAAATAAGAACTTTTATATTTGTTTTAATTTTTATGATATATTCAAATTTATATTTTTAAAGAAAACATTATTGGTTGCTCAAAACCACATAAATCCATAGTATAATATCGACATAAACCAAAAAAATAAAACAAAGAAAAACTAAAATCGAAATATATTTCGTTACATTCCACGAGTATCCTTCTAGTAACTAATAAGAAATATAAACTTAATATTATATAATTGATAAAAATATTGTTAGTATTATTGTATTTGATTTTTTGCCTACTAAATCAAGCAATAATAATGATAATAATATAAAGATAATAACTATCACTGATAATAACTAATAATATAAAAATAATCAATACCATTACTTATATTTCAAAATAACTAATAATTCAAAAATAATTAATATTATTACAATTCAAAATAATTAACAATTAGTATTAATTAGAAGGGTACTCTCGTAATGCAGTGAGATATATCTCGATTTCAATGTTTCATTTTATTTTTTTGGTCTCTGTCGATGTTATAATACGAATTTATATGGTTTTGAGCAAGCAACAATGTTTTTCTTAATAAAATATAAATTTGAAGATATCATAAAAATCAAAAAATATATAAAAGTTGTCATTTTTTGTGTAATTTCTTTAATTCAAAATTTTTATTATAATTTAATCTAGGTTTAATGACGAAATAATTTATTATTAGTTTAATGACATAATTTTTTATTAAGATTATAATTAAGTATTTTGTTAGAACTCAATAATTATCATAATTATATTTAGATCTTGGTATACTTAAAATGAGATATTTATCTTCTATTTGATTATGTTTATCTACAGTTAGTCACACGAATTCAAGCATGTAGTTTTAATAAGTTATACTTATGTACAATTTATTTGTAATATTGAATTTAAGTAATATGCATCCATAAATAGTACTTCATGCATAAAAAATGGTTTTTAATAGTTTTTGTCAAATGCTTTATAATATAGTGTGTGTGTATATATATATATTTATATATATTAAATATGATATATTATTTGTTAATAATATAATATTTAATCAAAAATTTTAAATAAACTCCTAGAACAATGTGTCAAAAAAACCGTTACAGTCTTATATAAAAAACATCACGTGAAAATGCACTATTAGGTGAAAACGACAGCTAAGAAAGGAATATGACAGGCAATAAAGGAATAACTTCGTATTCAGGTACGCATGCATAAGAAAATCCCTCACAAAATGTAAAAAATGTGACGACCTGAGCGCCTATATCATGTGCTACGAACTCGCTCCCAGTCAGTCTCACAATTTTCTTCAAAAAAATTTCGTCTAGTTTCTCTCAAGGCGAAAATACCTATGGGGATTTTCACCGAGAAACCAACAACAGTGGGAATGTTGTTGTGTACGCTGATGATGATCGAGTTAGGTGCAAGGGTCGTGATGGTTACAGGAAAACAGTACAAGGTTGGTGATTCTGCTGGTTGGACTACAAAACCCAACTCCACTTACTTGAGTTGGGCATCTTCCAAGAACTTTCGTGTGGAAGACGTTCTTTGTGAGTACCTTCATTCTTCTGCTTGTTGTTTGATTGTTGTTTCCGTTTTTAATTTTGATTTTGTTTTTAACACGAAATGGCAGTTTTTAACCTCAAATCAATCTTCCAACACAGACCCAGTAGATTTTGTGGTTGAATAATCTACATTTTGACGGTAGACAGATTATTTCTTTTAAAACCAGTCTGTATAAATTTGTTTCTAAAACTGTTTATTGATCCAAGAAATAGATCTACGATCGAGTCATGAAAAGTAAAAAAAATTCACAATTGACGCTTTTTATATTATTTTGAGCGAATTATTGATAATTTAGAGTATTTGATTATTGTGCGATGGAACAGGGTTCGAGTACAACGCCACCATAGACAATGTGATACGAGTGAGTCTCTCCGATTTCCGGTCATGCAACACATCGGCTCCGATCAAAACATTCAACTCTGGCAATGACTCGTTCACCATCAAGGCACCTGGACACTACTACTTCACTAGCGGTTTTTCCGGTCACTGCAAGGCTGGTCAAAAACTCGATGTCAGAGTCCTTAAAACGTCTCAAAACGCCACCCAACCATCGGGCCGAACCCCAAGTCCCAGCCCCTCTGATCTAGTATCTTCGTCACCCTTGGAATCAAAGGAAACAGCACCAAGTCCAACGGAAAACTCAGCGACATCGACACATGATCCGATGTGGTTGCTTATGACTATTGGTGTGGCCTTCAATGGTATTTTAGTTCTGGTTCATGGTTGTGTTTAGCAGTGAACTGCAGTCATTTTGATATTGTAATAATTAAAATTAATATCAATTAATTTTATGGGTGTTTAGTATTTCATGTATGTGCGATCGTTTGAAGTTACAACGCCAATTTGAGAATACCAGATGTTATGCGTGTTTATCAGTTCACATAAAATGGATTTTGACAGAAGTGATCCAATTCAATCATCTATCATGACGTTTAATTTTGACAATTGATATAATCCATTTATTTTTCTATAACTGATACAATCCAGACATATGAGTGATCTGATTGGATGAGTTATATCTGTTTAATATAAATATTGGGTATTTACTGGATCAGATTGAATTAATCAAACAGTTATCAACATATCTCACTTAAAAGATACACATTCATAAGTATCTTTATAAATCGATCGACGAATATGATTTATAAGCATAAATCATAAAGGAAAAAAAAAAACAACTAACGTACACCAAAATACCAAGTACAGATGACACATAAAATAAATCATTCATCATTATAATACTTGGATTGGATACGTTCAATAATATTAGATTTTGAATTGTTATCCAACAACTGAACAAATGGATTGGATTGGATACGTTCAATAATATTAGACTTTGAATTGTTATCCAACAACTGAACGTCCAAATTTGGATATGGAAAGTTTGGATCCAACCTCATCCAGTTATATATATATGGTTGAGTTCACGTGAGACCAACCTATTTTCGTGAGACAACTTTTTTACACTTGAAAATTCACAGCAAAACGCTACGAGGGTAAAAAAAACCTAAACTTTTACAACAAAAATATTGTGAAGGTTATTTTCACAACATTTTGCTGTAGAGTTTCAAGTATAAAAAAAATGGTCTCACGGGTCTCACAAAAACAGACTGGTCTCACGTGATCCAAGTCTCTCCCTATCTCTCTCTCTCTCTCTCTCTCTATATATATATATATATAGAGAGAGAGAGAGAGAAATTATCATACCACAAATTAAACATTTTATGAGAAGACAACAAGTTTTAATATCATATATGATTACACGCTTTTGACTGTGTTTGGTCATTCAAGATTAAGTGTCTATTGCATCTCAGTGCATCTCATTCTAATGTGCATCAAAAGGTATAGATCACTTCTTACGCTTATCACCTTAACTCTCATTTTTACCGGAACCCAACCCTCTTGTTCAATAGATTATAATCAGATCCAATTACTTTTGCACTAGGTGCAATTGACAACTTCCGTTCTATTTGATATGTAATTTAGTAATTATGTCTTATCAAACCTTATCTCTAAGTTTTCTTAGTGCATAATAGAGTCTGATACTTCTTCCAACGCTCTAAACTGATTTTTGTTATTGGATTATCCACTTTAGCCCAAAATGATTAATTGTGCATTTTATTTTGTGACTTGTTTGATTTATCATTAGTTTTTTTTCTGTAGATTTTTCAGTGTTTTCAGATATCTTTTATATTATTCCAAACCGACAAATTCATATGCAGCGATCACCGACATTAGGCCGAAAAAGTGTAGGTTGCTATGAATCGGCGGCAATAACTCACAATTGTGAAGGGCCTTCAAATACTGATGTCAATATCCTGAAAGTAGATGGAATACTGTATCATTGATGGAATATTGTTGACAGATTAACTGATAATTAGGATCAAGAAAAAACTGAAATCATTGAATTGCTCAAGTGATCGGCAATAAAACCAATGCTATTTCATTCATTGTTGAATTCTACGACTGATTTGAGAATCATAGGATAACAAAAAGCTCTTTTTTAAAAGAGCAAATTGTTTGAAAAAAATAGCGCACTTTAACTTGATTCATATTTTGGGTAACGTATTTCAGAACTTTCATTTTGGTACCTAAGATGCAAAGTTTTAAACATTTAAGTACCCGGGTAAGAGGTTGAAGCATTAACCGGTTACCATACTGATGTGGTGAGTGATGTGATATCCAACTCTTTATTATTTGTTGTTCAATCCAATTTCATCTCATCACTTGCCATATTAGCATGGTAACCGGTTAATGCTTCAAACGATTATCCGGATACTTAACAGTTTAAAACTTTACATTTTATATATGAAAATAGAAATTCTAAAAGTAATTACCCAAAATATAAATCAAGTTACGGTAAGATATCTGCAATTTGCCATTTTAAAATAATTGAAAAAAATTAGCTGCCGTAATTTGGGCACATCTCGGGAGTCTAAAGGTTTTTGAATTCAAAATTTTATGTTTAGATTAGAAGTTGAAAATATGATGATTATAATAATTTTATAAAATAATATTAATTCAAAAAATTACAAAATAAATCTAATTACATGTGAAATTCCACGCAATTCTCACGTGCGACGAGACAGTGATAGGATGTACTCCTTCCATAATGCATAACAAGAGGTAAACTAAATAAATACTGCCGAGGGTACACAATTACCACCTACACCACCAAACACCGTAACGTTATTACCCCTTATATAAATACAACAACTTCCCACCACCTTCGTTCCCCCCCCCCCTCTCTCTCTCTCTCCAGCAAACCGCACACAGTCCACTCTTCACCCTCACACACACAAACTGTGACACTGTTTCGATCGAAATACTCCATTAATGTCTATCAGAAGGAAACTGTGAGTTTGTATCTCACACGGGTTTCGATAATACGATTTGGCTCCGGTAGGAATCGAATTTTCAAGAGTTTTGGGGATTAATTTGGTAAGATCTTCATTTCCAAGAGAAAATGGCGATGGAGATTAGTAAGGTTACACTGGAGATATTTTCGAAGCTTGAGAAGCAATGGTTGTTTCACTGTGAAGGCAGTAAGAAGACACGAGTGCTCAGCATTGATGGTGGTGGAACTACCGGCATCGTCTCAGGAGCCTCCTTGATCCACCTCGAAGACCAGATCCAGGCCAAAACGGGAGATTCTAACGCTCGAATAGTCGATTTCTTTGACATTATAGCTGGAACTGGAATTGGAGCTCTTCTCGCTGTAATGCTGAACGCTGACGACGGTAATGGCCGTCCGCTGTTTACCGCCAGAGACGCGGTTAAGTTTGTGAGCGATAGGCAAACGGAACTGTACAAAGTGAAAAATGTAGGCATTTTTCGCCGGAGACGGTTGTTTTCCGGTAAGAGCATGGATAAGGTTTTGAAGGAGGTTTTAACCAGAGACGACGGCAAGGTGTTGACTCTTAAGGACACATGTAAGCCTCTTCTTGTACCGTGTTTTGATCTCAATAGCTCCGCGCCGTTTGTTTTCTCTCGAGCCGACGCCTCCCAATCGGCTAGCTACGACTTTGAGCTCTGGAAAGTTTGCCGTGCCACGTCCGCTGATCCGTCCATGCTCAAGCCGTTTCCGCTAACTTCCGTTGATGGAAAAACCTCTTGCTTAGGTGTAGATGGCGGTTTAGTCATGAACAATCCTACCGCCATCGCCGTTACTCATGCCTTGCACAACAAGCGCGATTTCCCGTCGCTTACCGGCGTCGAAGACCTTGTAGTTATTTCCATGGGTAACGGTCCATTAAGCACTACGTCGCAACGGAAACTTGATCGTCACGGCCAATGCCTGTCGTCATCCGTCGTAGACATTGTTCTCGCCGGTGTATCGGACACCGTTGACCAAATGTTAGGTAACGCATTCTGCTGGAACCATACGGATTACGTCAGAATTCAGGTAACTTTTTTGTGGATAGAATGATTTTGATTTTGATTTTTTGGCGATGGAGTAACTGACGGCGTTGAATATTGCAGGCCAACTGTTACACGAAGGGAACTGTGGGACCGACAATGGAGGAGGTGTTGATGGAGAGAGGAGTTGAATCATTGCCGTTTGGCGCTAAACGGTTACTAACGGAGACTAACGGACAGAGAATCGAAGGCTTTGTACAACGACTTGTAGCTTCCCGAAGGAGTAGCTTGCCGCCTAGTCCTTGTAAGGATGCCGCCGTTACTCCGCTGGTTCACGGCCGGTAGGTTTTCCGTTTGTTAGTCTCAACCCATCTCGGGTTTTATTTTAACTATCTCAGTTACGGTGCTCAATAAATTCTCGTCTGTCGTTATCTGTAACTTTTTGAATCCTTAATTTTGTATTAGATTTTATATTTATTTATTTTAATATCAATATAATTAGAGGTTAGTTTCCATGTCATTCATATTAACCATCATTCTATCTATGAATATCTCAATTGTTTCTTTAATATAAAACATTGATCATTAAAAACATCTCCAATGCAAGGTTTTAAGTGTAACCTTTTAGAAGAACCAAAATTACAAGGAGTTCTCCTAAGAATTTCAACCTCTTTGAATTCTTGTACAAAAACTTTGGTTTTAATCTTAAAGTTAGTATGAATTGACAATTTAATGAGTTGGAAATGATATGACAACAAAAAAGTACAAAAAATAGGTTTTTAGAAAAACCTCCATTCGAGATGTCCCAGTCATGTTCTATAATTTTCATAATTCTTATAAAGGTCTGTTTGGTTTGCATGATCTTTTTTTTTGGTATTTAGATTTCATTGAGGGATTTGGATTGTAATGAACTTGAAATCATTGGTGTATTTGGTTTGTATAATTTGTAATGGAATTGGATTTCATTGTTTATAAATAAATTATAGAAAAATTATAAAAATAATTGAATTATATTTTTATTAATTAATTATTACAAAACAACTGTTTTTTACATTTTTTTAGAACCTTAATACATATAATTCTACGAAATCCCGTAAAATTCCGAGCACTCCATGAGAATTTCAAAATCCTATATTCAAAGAATTTTAATTAAATACAAGGATTTCAAATCTGGATACCTAAATATCTCATTTAATTGATTTGTATGATTTATATGAATGAAATTGTTTGTATTTGAAACTCATTTATTAACCATCCCTTTCAATATGTATTTTTTTAATTATTCAAAAAAAATTAAAATATTAAGTAGCTTCTGGGCTAATAAATGACATTAAAAGCCTATCAGCTGCCTTGTAAAAGTAAGATTCCAATACTTAATTATGGTTTTAAAATTAATTGTTCTTCTTTTACAAGATTTGTATTAAAGAATCAGATCTCGATGTATTCATATGAATAAATAAGAGTAAATTACGATTTTGGTCCATGTGGTTTCTTCAAATTTTCTATTATCATCCTTATGGTTTTTCAATTATGTTTTTCGTCCTTATTGTTTACCATTTATTGTTTTTTTCGTTCATGTACTAATTTCAAACAAGCATTATACATCAAACAAGGGTTGATTGGTAATTTTAGTTTTTTTTTTCTCATTTTGTCCCATCTTGTTCCACCTAAGAAAATAGTCTTTTTTGTCCTATGTTGTCTCACTTTATCCCAATTCTTGTATTTGTCTCATGTCACGTTAAACATGAAACATTGAGTTCTTGTCTCTGTCACATCGCACCAAAGAAGGGACATTGAGTTTTTCTCATCTTGTCATGTCATGTCTCATCTCTTGTACCAAAAGCAGCCTTAAAATACAAGAGACCAAGACAGTAAAGAACTGTAAAATCGCAATGGACGGAAGCAACAATAAAGTGTTATTTGCCAGTTGCTGAATGGTTTGGTGCAGAGTGATTAAATGATAAGGATGATTAAGAGACTTTCATGATATAGTGCAAAATGAAATATAATTGTTTAGTATTTGTTTCCAATGAAGTTATGGCGCTTAATGATTAAGGGAGACACAAAATACAAAATCATTAAGAGATAAACTTTTTTTTGCCAAACAAAATTCGTCTCTTGACGATTCAGATATGGCCTCTTAATGAAACTATTCGAAGGTAAACAAACAACCCCTAAATTATAAATCATAAAGACGAAAACCGTAATGAATTATAACCCACAGGGACGAAACTGTAATTTACTCAAATAAAAAAAAAAAACTATATATATTTATATTTTATGATTAATTTTGAGACAATGGAACATGCATGGGTAAGATCTAACTCCAATTGTTTGTTGTCTTGGTAGTCAATTCAGTGGACACTTGATCTCTATTTGTTTTGTTATACCTTCTTGCTTCATGTTTCTTGTCTCCGTAGCCAATTTGATGCAACTACGTTACAAATAAACTGCTTTCATTACATTCTGTCTCTCCTCGACTATCCACTCTTCTATCACCACTCACAACTGCCTGAGAAATTGATCAAAATAAGCCAGTATTTTTAACTAAATTCACTTTTTAGTCAAATCTAGAACAACATGTTACATGAAAAAGTATTATGCTTTAACTTGATTCTTATTTTGGGTAACGTATTTTCAAAACTTTCATTTTGGTATCTAAGATGTAAAGTTTTAAACATTTAAGTACCTGAACAACTTGTTGAAACATTAACTTTGTCTTATAATAAATCGCAATACTAAAAAACTAATTTTAGATTAAGACATTTATGTCAGCAAATAATATTGAATTGGATACCACATCAGTATGGTAACCGGTTAAAGTTAATGCTTTAACCGTTTACTCGGGTACTTAAATGTTTAAAACTTTACATCTTAGGTACCAAAATGAAAGTTTTAAATGTACATTACCCAAAATAGAAATTAAATTGAAATACGTTACATTTTCATGCAATTTACCCTATCTATAACTTAACTCTTATTTTCATTAGAGTTTACACAAATGCCTTTGTGTAAAGACCATTTCCAAATAAACAGAAAAATCCTTATGCAAACTTGCATAAGGATTCTTTTTTCCTTTTTTTTTTAAATCTAAAAATTATTATTTGTTTTTTAATCTAAAAACGGGTTTTATGCAAATGCACATGACATTTGCATAAATTCAGACTAAAATGATAAAACATTTTAAAAAAAGGGCTAAAAAATGAAGTTGATTGGGAAGATTGGTTATTTTAATCAATTTCCCTTACCATTAAGTACAATGTGAAAAAAAACTATCTTAAAAATCCTTACCTCATAATGCATAAATCTATATCTTTTTAACAATCGATACTGATTACTGAAGTGTCTTTAGCCTCGTGGAAATGAAATGTAAGGAGTGAATTCAGTTGGCAAAGTGAATTCATCAATGGGGGATTTTTTTCCGTCGCTAATACTTTGTTTTCTAATAGTATATGTAGTCATTTATAAGACAATTTTCGTTCCCATTTTCCAACCGATGTAAATAATAATAATAATAAAAATAAAGAAACCCTGATTATCGAAAGATATTTTAAACATGTAGATGATGCATTTGGTTCATTTTAAAATAATATATATATATATATATATATA